GTCCCAACACCGATCCCTGAGGCACACCACTAGTCACTGACTGCCAGCTAGAACAGCACTCATTTATCCCCACTCTTTGCTTCCTGTTAGTCAACCAATCCTCTATCCATGCTAATACTTCACCCTTAATGCCATGCATCCTTATCTTATGCAGATAAAATCACCCATGATCATATTACATGATGAAGTGGTTTGGAACGGCTGAATTGTAGAGATAGTCACTCACAAAGATCACAGAGCAGAAGTCCCAGAACAGATCCCTGTAGACCACCACTGGTCACAGAGCTCCATGCTGAATACTTTCCATCTACCACCCTCTGGCTGTCCAATTGGACAGCAATTCTGTGTCCAGACAGCCAAAATTTCCCTGAATCCCATGCCTCCTTGCTTTGAATTAGCCTACCATGGAGAACTTTATCAAATGCCTTGCTAAAATCCATATACACCACATCCACTGCTTTACCTTCAAAGTGTTTGGTCACATCCTCAAAGAATTCAATAAGGCTCGAGGCATGACCTGCCCCTCTCAAAGCCATGCTGACTATTTCTAATCAAACTGTGCTTTCCCAAATAATCATAAATCATATTTATCCCTATTCCCTTACTTGAACAAGGGACTGACATTTGCCACCCTCTAATCATCTGGTACCACTCCAGGACAGTGAGGATGCAAAAGTCATTGCCAAAGGGGAAGAGATTGCTCCCCTCACTTCCCATTTTAATCTTGGGTATATTCCATCTGGCCCAGGGACTTATCTATCCTCATCAAAATTTCTAGCACATCCTCCTTCCTAACAGCAACCTGTTTCAAAGAGATAGTAGGAACTACTGATGCTGGAGTCCGAGATAACAAGGTGTGGAGCTGAATGAACACAGCAGGCCAGGCAGAGGAAAAAAAGGGTCCAGACCCAAAACATCGGCTTTCCTGCTCCTCTGTTAATCCAGCTCCACATCTTATCCTTTACCTGTTTCATGCTGTCTTCAAACATCAAGGTCCCTCTCACTGGTGAATACTGAAGCAACGTATTCATTAAAGGACCTCCCATACCTCCTTTGACTCCACACACAAGTTCCCTCCACTATCTGTGATTGGCCCTACCCTCACTCTGGCCATCCTCTTGTTCCTCAAGTATAGAAAGCCTTGGGGGTTTTCCTTGATCCTCCCCGCCAAGGTTTTTTCATACCCCCTTCGAGCTGTCCTGAGTCAGTTCTTCAGTTCCTTCCTGGCTACCTTGTAGACCTCTGGAACCCTGTCCAATCCTTGCTTCCTCAACCTTAAGTAAGGTTCCTTCTTCCACTTGACTAGGTGTTCAAGATGTCTTGTCATCCAAGGTTCCTTCACCTTACCATCCTTTCCTTGCCTCAGTGGGACAAACCTATCCACTATCTGGAGTAACTGCTCCCTAAACAATCTCCACATTTCTATCGTGCATTTCCCAGAGAATATCTGATCCCAATTGGTGCTCTGTAGTTCTTGCCTAATAGCATTGTAATGCCCCTCCCCCAATTAAATACCTTCCCATACTGTCTGTTCCTATCCCTCTCCATAACTAAAGTAAAGGTTAGGGAGCTGTGATCACTATCACCAAAATGCTCTCCCACAGAGATCTGACACCTGACCTGGTTTATTGGCAAGCACCAAATCCAATGTGGCCTCCCATCTAGTTGGCCTATCTACATACTGAGAATAGTGAGAGTGTACTGAAAGAGTCCAACTTTGTAGGTGACAAATACAGCCATTGAGAGGATCTCAGGTTCCTGGTCACTTTCCCTGCACTGCTCACAGATAAATGCAAGTTTTTTTTGGAAGAAGGGATGGGGAGAATAAGAGAGTGAAAACTTTGCTTGAAGTGGGAGAAGGATGGAACCAGGAGATATTATACAGTTATTGTGCCAAAGGCTAAATTAAAGCTAACACTATGGTGAACTAGTTTTTCTTTTATTTAGAGACACTTTACAACATGGAAAGTGGCCCTTTGGCCCACTGTGTCAACACCAGTCAGACATCCATTATTCTACCTCCATTTGCCACCACTGGGCCCATAGCTCCAGTTGCTAAGCAGTTAAGTGTTCATCTAAGAAGTTTTTAAAATAAAGGATTCCCACCTCCACCACTTAGTGAGTTCCAGTTACACACCATCCTCTAGGTGAAAAGAGTTTTCCTGAAGTCCACTCAAATGCCTGCCGTTTGCCTTAAAAAAGTGTCCCCTTGTTACTGGCCCCTCTATTAGTGGGAAATGGTTCTCTCCATCTATGCCTCAAACTTTTTACACCTCAATCCAGATTCCACCATCCTACCTTCGAGGATTGATTGAGTCTCTCTTCATATGGGAAGGGGAAGAAAGGGCAGAAGGAGAGTCCAACATATGCTCCTTGCCTTGTTAGTCCTTCCAAAATGCATCACTTTTCAGGATTAAATTCCGTTTGCCACTGTTCAACCCATCTACATTGTCTTGTAATCAAAGGCTTTCCTCCTTCTTGCTATTTGCCACATCAATTTTTGTGTCATCTGCAAACTTACTAATCATACCTCCTACATTTGTCTGGATAATTAATGTGCACAATAGCAAGGGATCTAGCACCAAACCCTGAGGTACACCAATGAACAGGTTTCCAAAATCACAAGAACAACCTTCAACCATCATCCTCTACTTCTGGCCAACAAGCCAATACTGGATCCAACTTGCCAAACTGCCCTGGATCCCATTGTCTCTTAGCTTCTTAACCAGGTTATCATGCAATACATCTCTATTTGTGGATTTAAATCATCTAAGGTCACTTGTCTCAAATCAAAGTCTCCTCTCTAACTTCTAAATCTACCATACTTCTTTCTTGTGAAGAGAGGTGCAAAATACTAATTTAAAACCAGCTCCATTTATTAATTGCCACTCTGGTTTGAAACCATGGTTATTCTCTTGCACACAATATACTCAGACTTCTGGATTTTCTATAACTGTTCCCTGCCAATAGCACTCCTAGTTTTTTTGTTTGAAAAGAAGCAACATGCTGCACTTGCTATAGTTATTTAGTGCAGCCACTGTTTTCAGCGTTCAGTATCTACCATAAATTTTAAATTTGGTCATAATCATCCTGCTGGCTTAAAATGTATATTCCAGAGTTTTTAAAAAAGAATTCCACCCCTAAAGTAAATTCCACTAGCTGCTGTAATGAGATTTGAACCTGTGGCTCCAGAGCTTTAACTCAGACTTCTGGATTATTAGTCCCCTGACTGTGCCATGGCACAATCACCTGTTCAGAACCACAAAGTCAGAGAAGTTATGATTAATTGTGTGCACCATTCTTTACAAATCATTCATCTTTCCCATGATCACTAAGTGATGTGTTCAAGGTAATGTTTTCTTTTATCCCCAAAAAGAATGCTTACCTGCATAGAGAAAATCACAACAGTAAAGCAAACAGCTGCAGTAATCCCAACAGCCATCACTACAGAGTCTGTGCTGTAGAAACTGGCAATCATTCCAGCCATGTACGACATGCTGAGAGTGAGGATAGACTGCAGACAGAAAAGCAACAGCAAGTAAATACACTGTATATACACACTTGTTACAAAAGTCTGTTCTAAACTGGTATGAATCAGTCTCTATTCACAAAAAGAACAGTATGATCAGATTAAGTTAATTATTTTGTATTGCTACACAAAAAAAAGTCACAACTCCCCACATTAGAAATAGTCACCATTCCACCCCTCGAGCCTACATGGCTATTTAGGAAATAACCCCTCACCATCTTACACACAAAATCAAATCACCTTTCATTCCTAAAATTCCAACAGGTATAGAATGTCAGTGTAGCAGTTTAAAGTTCCAGCCTCAACATTGGCAAATAGCGGGGGACAGAAATACATCTGGTTCACTAACATCCTTTAGTGAGGGAAGCTGCCATCCTTACCTGATCTGGCCTACATGTGACTCCAGAACCGCAGCAATGTGGTGGACTCTGAACTGCCCTCTGGGCAATTAGGGATGGGCAATAAATGCCACCTAGCCAGCGATGCCCTCATCCCGTTAATGAAATAAAGTAGTCAGGAGTGTAGTTGGGTCAGCTGTGTTGTTTAGATAATCAGGAATTAGATCAGATTTTAACCTAACATTCTGCTGTACTTGATAAAAACCAAAAGAACTGCAGATGCTGTAAACCAAAAAAAATAGAAGTTTCTGGAAAAGCTCAGCAGGTCTGGCAGCATCAGCTGAGATGAGGAAGGGACACTCAACCCGTAATAATCAACTGATTTCTCTCCATTGATGCTGCCAGACCTGCTGAGCTTTTCTAGCAATCTCTTTGATTTTGCTGTACTTCGGAATGATTATGCAAGAGCTTTCCAAAGTCCCTGACTAGCTTACACTGCCATCTGTGATAAGTCCCATGAAGCAGGGAAAGTCTGTTGAAAGTCAAAGCTTTCAGGGCAATTTCCAACTATGCGCCAGGACTTTTCCAGGGCCCAATCCACACCTTCAGTCATGTGCAACTCCCTTCCCGATTTCCCAAACCCTGTTCACCATCTACAAAGACAAGACAAATCAAGTGGTGAAAGCTTCCCCAATTGCCTGAAGGAGTGCAGTGCCAACAACATTCAATCCACTTGACTGGCACCACAACCACTCCCTCCACCAACATTTAGTACCCACTTACTACTATCTACAAGATGCACTACGTAAATTCACTGAAGCTGCTCAGACAGCACCTTCAAACCCACAACTATACCAACAAGGAGATCATGAATGACATGGGAAGACCACCACCTCAGTCAAGGGGACATCTAAGTTTTTCTAAACTAGAGGAAGTAAAACGGGAAAAAGTTCTTAGTGACAAGTCATGGCAAAACAACAGCCAGGTGGAATGAGTGGAATGCTCCCCCTTCTACACAATCTTGTAAGTTAGGAGCACTTCTAGAGCGACATGTGCAGGAAAGTGAATCCAGCTACAACTACTGAGAGTCTATACTTTGGACCTAGAACAGTCACTGGAGTATTTGCAAGCTGACATTGTGCATCAATAGCACATATAGTAAGGTGGAAATAATGCACAGACAGAAAAAGGAATGGGTGACCAAGCATAGTAAAAACTCAAGGCAAGCAGTGCACGAATCTCTTGGGAAAGTCTAACATCTTCCATTTTGGATACTGGTGGAGATGGTTTCTCAAAAAAAAAAAAAAAGGCAGCAGGAGGCAGTTGTGTATTGGAGGGGCCTCAGCTGCAGTGTGGCATAAGATGAACTGCAAAAAAAAAAAAACAGTAGAGTCAGATCTACAGAATGGAAACATCCTTCGGCGCAACCAGTCCTTGCTGCCCAGTTTTTACAATTAAACGAGTCCCATTTGCCTGCATTTGGTCCATATCCCTCCATACCTATTCCAATCTCTAACTGTCTAAATGTTTTTCTTGACAAAATTGTACTGGCTCTACCTCCGGCAGCCTGTTCCAGATACTCACCACCTTCTGAAAGAATTGCCCCTCTAGACCTTTTTGTATCTCTCCCCTCTCACCCTAAACCTATGCTCTCTAGTTTTAGACTTCCCGACCACTAGGAAAAAGCGGTTGGCCATCTACCTTAACTATGCCTCATGATTGTACAGACCTCCAGAGGTCACCCTTCAGTCTCCTACGCTCCAAGAAAAAGATCAGAATCCCTAGTGTGGCAATAGGTCCTTGGGCTCAACAAGTCCACACCAACCCTCAGAGCATCCCACCCAGACTCATTTCCCTATAACCCACCAAACCTACACATCCCTGAACACCACAGGCAAATTTAGCATGGCCAATCCACCTAGCCTGCACACCTTTGGATTGTGGGAGAAAACCAGAGCACCCATGCAGGTACAGGGAGAATGTGCAAACTCCCCAGAGGCTAGAATCGAACCTGGGACCCTGGCGCTGTGAGGCAGCAGTGCTAACCACTGAGCCACCATGCCGCCCAAAAAGTTCCAGCCTATCCAACCTCTCCTTATAACTCAAACTTCCTAGCCCAGGTAGCTCCTAGTAAGTTTTATCTGCATACTTTCTAGTTTAATAATATCCTTTCTATAATAATCAGGACAGACATTTGTGGCTGCAGAAGCAACACCAGGATGGGATGTTGCCTTACTAGTACTGAAAGTCAAGGATGTCTCTCAAGAGGCTGCAGGACATTTAAAACCACAGAAGTAAGCCATTCAGCCTGTCACATCCACTCTGCCAATCAATAAGATCATGGATGATCTGATAATCAATTCCACTTTCCTACCATTTCTCTAGAAACCTTGATTTTATTTTAAAACAAATAAAGTATCTCTCAGCCTTTATAATACTGAATGTCAGCCTCAACATTCCTCTGCAGTAAAGAATTCCACAAATTCACAATCGTTAGAAGAAATTCCTCATGTGACCCCTCATTCTGAGATTATGCCCTCTGAACCTGGATTCTTCCCAACGCAGAAACATTTCAATGTCTACCCCAATAAGATGCAACTTTTCAATGAGGGCACCTCTTATTCCTCCAAGTACAGACCCAAACTACTCAATTTCTCCTCAAAGAAAAATCTCTCCAAAACCCCAGAATAAACCAAGTGAACACGCAATGGGTTACCTCCAATGCCAGTGCATCTTTCCTTAAATAAAGGGGACCAAAGCTATTCACAATATTCTAGATGTGGTGTCACAGATGTCCGACAGTTTCAGATACTCTGTTCCTTTTGGAATGGAGGCCAACTTTCCATTTGCCTTTCCTATTACCTGAACTTTGAAGGTAGCTTTTTTGCCCCAATCATGGGAAATTGCTTTCAATTCTGGTCCTCAATTTCCCAAGGTGACGGTTAATGGTCAGCTGTCCTCTTGAACTGTTGCAGTCCATGTATTGTAGAAAGACCCACAATATCATTAGGCAGGGAATTATAGGATTTTGATCCAATGTCATTGGATATTATATATTGTTGTTCCTTCAAAGTAAGGATGGCAAATGGCTTGGAAGAGAGCTTGGTGGAGATAGTGTTCCTGCTGCTCTCGTCCTTCTAGGTAGAAGTGGGTTTGAAAAGTGTTGTCTTTGGTGAATTCTGCAGTGCAATTTGTAGATATATACACCGATGCTACTGAGCATCAATGGTAAAGAGACTGTATGCTTCTGGATTTGGTAACAGTCAAGCTGGCTGCTTTGTCCTCAATAGGGTCAAGCTTCAAGTGCAGTTGGAGTAGTAACCATCCAGACAAGTGAGTATTCTATCACCCTCCTGATTTGTGCCTCGTAGATGGCCGACAGAGTCAGAAGGGCAATTACTCACTGTACTATTCCAAAACTGAGCTCCTTTTGCCATATAAAATATAGTAGCTGCAAGTCCAATTCTGTTTCTGGCCAACAGTAACATCACTGGATGTTAAGGATCAGTGGTTAGACTCTTACTGGAGATGGGCATTGCCAGACATGTGGCATGAATGTTACTTGCCACTTTTCAGCCCAAGCCTAGATACCATCCAGGTCTTTCTGCATTTGAACAGACTGCTTCAGTACCAGAGTTGTGAAAGGTGCTGAATAGTCAAGAAAACCAAACATCCTCATTTCTACCTTAAGAAAGAAGGTCATTGCTGAAACAGCTGAAGATGGTTGGGCCTGGTTCACTACCCAGAGGAACTACTGCAGAGATGTCATGAAGCTGATATGGCTAACTTGCAACAACCACAATCTTGTGCCAAGAATGATTTCAACCAGTAAAGACTTTCAACCCAACTGATTCCAGTTTTGTTGCAACTTCTCAATACCACACACCATCAAATATGAACTTGATTTCAGGGGTATTGCTCACATCTGGAATTTTACTCTTTCACCCATGTTCGAACCAAGGCTGTATTGAGGTGAAGAGCTAAGTGGCCCTGACAGAATCTACACTGGGCATCACTGAGCAGATGCTATTTGAATCCCTACAGTGTGGAAACAAGCCCTTCGACCTTCAGAGCATCTCACCAGACCCATTCCCCCCTTTAACCCACCTAATCTACACATCCCTCAACACTATGGGCAATTTAGCATGGCCAATCCACCTAGCCTGCACATCTTTGGACTGTGGGAGGTAACCCACTGATAGTGGGAGAATTTGTTGGCGACATCTTCCATCATGGATAAACATATGGATGATAATGGAATAGTTTAGGTTAGATGGGCTTCAGACTGGTTTCACAGGTTGGCGCAACAGAGGGCCGAAGGGCCTGTACTGCGCTGTAATGTTCTATGTTCTATCACATTACTGGTGGATGAGAGTAGACTAATGGGGCAGTAATTGGTTGGGTTGGATTTTTTGTTCTGTTGTGTACAGAACTTAGCTGGGTGATTTTCCACCTTGTTGGGTAGATTCCAGTGTTGTAGCTCTACTGGAACTACTTGATTAGAGGTACAGCAAGTTCTGGAGCACAAGTGTTCAGTACTATTGCCCAAATATTGTCAGAGCCTATAGCCACTGCAGTATATGATGCCTCCAACCACTTCTAGATATCATGTGGAGTGAATCAAATTGGCAGAAGACTAACAAGTGATGCTGAGGACCGCTGGATGAGGCTAAGGTTGAACGTGCACTTGACACTGACTAGATTATCACAAATGTTTACAGCATTATTTTTTGCTCTGATGTGCTGGACCTTCCCTTCACTGGAAGAGGAGGATCCACAAATAACCCCATCCTCTGAGTTGTTTTGTTGCCCACCACTATTCGTCAGTGGATGTGGCAGGATGGCAGGACTGCAGAACTTAGACCTGATCTATTGGTTGTGGGATTGCTTAGTTCCACCACTTGCAGCTTATGCTGTTTGGGAAGAAAGTAGTACCTCATTTTTAGGTATGCCTGGTACTGCTCCTGACACGTTCTCCTGCACTTTCCATTGAGCCAGAGTTGATTCCTAGCTTGATGGTAATGGCAGAGTGCAGGATACACCAGGCCACAAGTTGCGTTGTTGTGCTATCATTCAATTGTCCACCACCATTCACAACTAGATGTGGCAAGACTGCAGAGCTTAGAACCCACAGAATCCCTAGTGTGGAAAACAGGCCATTCAGCCCATTGAGTCACACCAGCCCTCCAAGGAGGATTCCATCCAGACCCACCCTCCTACCCTATCCCAGTAACCTTGCATTCTCCCTGGCTAATCCACCTAATGTGCACATCCTGCAGACTGAGCAATTTAGCATTGCCAATCCACCTAAACTGCACATCTTTGGATTGTGGAAGAAACCAGAGCACTCGAAGGAAACCCACATGGACACGGAGAGTGCCTGCATGGAGCGTGCATAGTTACCCAAAGGTGGAATCAAACCCAGATCCCTGGCACTGAGGCAGCAGTACTAACCACTAAGCTCCCATGCCACCGTAATTTAGATCTAATTTATGGTTGGGAGATCACTTTGTTCTATGGACTTGCTGTTTGACATGCAAGATAAATTACCCAAATTGATAGCTTCATCAGGTTAGCAGGTGATGGTGATCCCATATATCTGCTGCCCTCATTCTTCTAGATGGAGATGGTCATGGGTTCGAAGGTGCTGTCTGAGGATCTTTGATGAATTCCTGCAGTGCAGCTTGTAGACAGTACACACTGCTGCTACTAAGTGTCTGTGGAAGAGAGAGAGTGGATGCAGGGCCAATCAAGCAGGCTATTTTGTCCTGGAGTGTCAAGCTTCTTGAGTGCAGTTGGGGCTGCTCGAACACTTCAGCCTTATATTTTGCACTGATGAATTGGGCTCTTCCTTCATTGAGAATGGGATCCTTGTGGAGCATTCTCCTCCTTCAGTGAGTTGCATAAATCGGCTACCACCATTCATAGCTAGACATGGCAGGACTACAGAACTGGATCTGATCCGTGGGCTGTGGGATCACTTGGTTCTCTATCACTTGCTGCTAATGTTGTTTGGCAGCTTCACCAAGTTGATATCTCATCTTCAGGTATGACTGGTGCTGCTTCTGGCATGCCCTCCTGCACTCAATTGAAACCACAGCTGATCCCCTGGCATGATGGTAATAGCTCAGTGGGTAAATGCCAGGTTACAGATTGTGCTGAGGTACAATTCTGCTGTTGATGGCCCACAGCACCTCATGGATGCCCAGTCTTGAGTTGCTACATCTGTGTGAAGTCTGTCCCATTGAACACCAATAATGCCACACAACATAATGGAGGTTATTTCCAACATGTGGGTAGGACTTTGTCTCCCTAAGGACTGTGCAGTGGTCAATCTTACCAATACTATCACAGACAGCTGCAGCTGGCAGACTGGTAAAGGATAAGGTCAAGTACATTCTTCCCTGTTGGTCCTCATCTACCACAGGCCCAGTCTAGCAGCTGTCCTTTAGGACCCGACCAGTTCATCTAGTAGTACTGAGCCACTGTGTGGTGGACATTGAAATACCCCACCCAGAGTACATTTTGTGCCCTTGCCATCCAGTGCTTCCTCCAAGTCTTATTCAAGATGGAGGAACTCTGCCAAGCGAGAATGGTACATGTAAGCAGCAAGAGATTTTCTTGCTAGTGTTTAACCTGAAGCCATGAGACCTCAAGGTCTGGAGTCAACATTGAGGACTCCTAGGGCAACTCCTCCTGACTGTGTACCACTGTGCTGCCACCTCTGCCAGGGCGGTCCTGCCAGTGGGACAGGACATATCCAGGGATGATGGTGTCTGGGACTGTCATACTCATTGAATCATACCTTATGGACAAAGTCAGGCTGTTGCCTGACTAGTCTGTTAAGCAGCTCTCCTAATGTTGGCACTAGACCCAGATGTTAGTAAGGACGACACTGCAGAGTTGACAGGGCTGTTTCTGCTGTTTTCTTTTCAGTGCCTAGGTCAATACTCGGTTATCTGTCTGGTTTAATTTCTTTGAGACATTGTAGTGATTGGTACAACCGAATGGCTTGTTAGGCCATTTCAGAGGGCAGTTAAGAGTCAACTGCATTGCTGTGGGTCTGGAGTAACATAGGCCAGACCAGGTGAAGGTGACAGATTTCCTTCCTTGAAGGACACTAGTGAATCTAGGTGGGTTTTCCCACCAATCGACAGTGGTCACAGTAGGGTTCTTAATTCCAGATCTTTAAAAAGTCAAATTTCACTATCTGCTAATGGTAGGATTCGAACCTAGGTCCCTAGAACATTCACTGGACTATTAATCTAGAGACCCAGGTATAATACCAATAGGCCATCCCGGATTTAGGGTCATCTGCAAAACTAGTCATCCTGAAAAATTCCGTTATCCCAACTGTCTATTAGTTAGCCAATCCTCAAAATGTACTACCCCCATTACTATTGGTTCTTATCTTCAAAAGAAGCCTAGAAGTGTGCCACCTTATCAAATGCCTTCTGAAAATCCAAATATACTACATCCACTACTTCCTCTGTCCTGCTTGTTATCACCTCAAAAAGGATTCTAATAAGTTTGTTTTCATTTTCATCAAGTCATGTTGACTGTGCTCGATTATAATTGTGCTATGACATCCTTTAACAGAATATTATAACATGGATATAAAGCTAACTGGCCTATCATTAGTTTTTTTGTCTCCTTTCCCTTTTCAATGAAGGGGGAGGGAGCATAGCCAAAGGTCACTGTCATTGATACTAACATGGACCAAGGTCAAAAACAGGATGGAGGTCCTGCAAACTGAAAATAGGGAGCTAGAAAATAAATCAAGTAGGATTTCAAAGACAGTAATCGTAGGATTACTTCAGTGCCACATGCCAGTGAGACCAAGAGTTGGAGAAAAGACTGAATGAGTGCATGACTGGAATAGGGAGGAATTCAGAATCTTGAGGCACTGGGACAGATTCTGGGTAAGATGGGACCTGTACAAGCTGAATGGAGACTCAGACAAACTTGGGAAAGGTTTAAACTAGAGTGGCTGGGAGTGGGGAACCAAAGCAAAGCAGAGAGTCAAGGGATAACCAAGACAAAACGAAAGAGAGTAGTCGAAGACAAAAAAAGTGGAATTATAAAAGAAAACAAGGGGTAGCAACAAATAGGGCTGGAGTTTAAAAAAGGGCAAAAATATCAAAGTCAACCATAGAGAGGTAAATTCAATAAAAACCAGAAAAAGGCAGAAAAAACATTAGCAGGAACTGTATGGACATCTGAATGGTAGCGGAGGTGGTAGGAGATGGAATTAAACAGCAAATTAGAGATGTTAATGTTAACTGATTTCTCTCCATGGATGCTGCCAGAACTGCTGAGCTTTTCCAGCTATTTCCATATTGATTTACAGTATCTGCAGCTCTTTAGGTTTTCATAAAAGTTGACAAGTCATGTTATAGTTGTATATTAAAAAACCAAACTTCAGTTAGGCCTCATTTGGAACAAGTATTGTGCCCAGTTCTAGTGACCACACTATACAAGGATGTGGAGGCTTTTGGAGGGTGGAGAAAAAGAAAAAAAAATTACCAGGATGTTGCCTGGATTAGAGTATTAGCTAGGAGAGGTTGGACAAACTTAGATTGTTTGCTAGAGTATTAGAGACTGAGGGGCAACCAGATAAAAGAATATAAAATAAGAGGCATGGGTGGTCACGTCTTCCCAGGGTGGAAATGTCAAATATTAGCAGGTTTAAGGTGTGAGGTTAAAAATTTAACGATTTGGTGAAGAAAAAGTTGTTTTTGTTTTAGAAAAACAAAAAAAAGGGGTAGCAGGAGACTGGAGTGTGCTGCTAGGGAAGGTAGAAGCAGCTAAGATGATAGCAATTAACAGGCATTTAGACAGACATGAACAGGCTGGGATATGGACCACATGTAGGTAGATGGGATTAATAGTTTAGAATGGTATCATGGTTGGCACAGACGTGGCCGGCCAAAGGGCCTGTTCCTGTGCTACACTGTTCTGCACACTGTGCAAGCAACAGAAAAAATAATAAAAGGTTAAGGGGTACGGGGAGACAGCAAAGTACAATGGAGAGATAGAAGATCAACCGAATAGCCAAGTAGGCTTGTTTGTTTGAATGGCCTATTCCTAGTCTTATTTGCTATGGTTCTAAGCTAAAATGGAACAAAAACATGCAGTCAGAAGGGAAAGACATTGAGGCATTACTCCCAAATGGCCAAATTAAAAATTCACATCAGGATCAATTCAATGTTTGCTTCTTTCTTCATCCTTTCTTCTTCCTACCCACCTCCAAAACCAGATGATTACCAGCCTCATACTTCAGGAGCATATCAAAAGATAGGAAAACATTAATGACATTACTTACCAAAGCAATGAGATTCCATGGGTGCTTCCGTCGGATTTGTCCACAACAGCTGAGAGCAATAAGTGTAACGAAGAATACACCATAGGAGGCATAGTAGATCCAAGGAGTGCGTCTCACAAATTTCTTAGCATCAGAAACAAAGGTACAGATACACACAAAAATGAAAGTCACCAGCAGCTGAACAGTCAAAACCATGTAGACCTGCAAATGGGAGGAAAAAGTGAATTAGCAACCTTGTGCATTTATCAGGGAAGAGATAACAGTTTGAAAAATCAGCAAGTGCCCAAGGTCAGGTCACATCACCTGACAATTACAAGGGTGGAACTTACCCAACCCCATTCTCAGCAGCAGCTTAAAACAATAGTGAATTAAAAGTCAATTACTAGGGGTCACGATTTCAAGGTGAGCAGGGAAAGTTTGAGGGAGATATGCGTGGAAAGTTCTCATGCAGAGGGTGGTGGGTGCCTGGAACGAGTTGCCAGCGGAGGTGGTAGAGGCAGGCATGATAGCGTCATTTAAGACGTATCTGGATAGATACGTGAATGGGCAGGGAGCAGAGGGATACAGATCCTTGGAAAATAGGCGACAGGTTTAGATAGAGGATCTGGATTGGCACAAGCTTGGAGGGCCGAAGGGCCTGTTCCTGTGCTGTAATTTTTTGTTCTTTGACACTTAACCATGAATATTGCAGCAGCATGGCAATTTTGCCAGCATCAGGATCTCCTAACATACATCTACAAATCCACAAGTGAGAGGATGTGGCTGCACAGCATGAAGCAACATTACAACTGAAGCTAATCTAAGTGTGCCTGGCAGAAAATACTAGGTTTAAAAAAGGACCCAAGGGCTAAAATTTTTCCATACAGAAGGTGGTGCATGCATGGAATGAGCTGCCAGTAGTAGTGGTGGAGGCAGGTACAATTACATGTAGAAAAGCATCTGGATGAGTACACTAATAGGAATTGAGGGATGAAGCCAAATGCTTGCAAATGGAACTAGGTTAGATTGGGATGTCTGGTCAGCATGTATGATCTAAACTGAAGGGTCTGTTTCTGTGCTGCAAGACTCATTATTGCACAGAATTTCTGGAGATAACTTAGTCATCATGGACCAGATAATGGTCTCAAATACAATGCCAACAATGACAGTTGTTTCGATGCTTCCTGGTCATCATTGCTGCTGAGGATCCAGCAGCAATCTAATCTCAGTGACTGCCAACCTCCCCTGCATTGATCTCCTGAACATGGCCATCATCTAACTAATTGCTTAAAGTTAGCAGAGATCTGCTACTAAGTGGGATTCACAACCTTGAAATGCCCTGAAGTCTGGCTCCCAATGGCAGTGGCAAGTTTTATTCAAATGCCAAAGAACATAGAACACAAACTAAACTCGTAAAGGATCCACAAAACACTACATTTCAACAGAAAATGTATAATTAACCTAAGGAATATGAAAGTGCAAGCTGCCAAATTCCAGCAATTATCCTCCTTTTCAATCGAAAAACTTCAACATTTAACAGCAGCATTTCCAATAATATTCTATTTGTCACAAAATACTAAAGTTGAATCAAGTACTAGATCAACTACTTGTACCAGTTTCCTCTGCCAGTGGATTTAGTCAGGCAAGAGGTGGGGGGAGAAAACAAAAAAAGTACAATGATCTTGGGAAGTTCTGCACAAGAATGTACAGCTAAAAACATCCAGTCAAGCTACTGATTGCAATATTTCCAGAGCCCATTATTCCATGCTCCTCACTAGTTCAGATTATAAAGTTCACCACATTTACAGGCTGAGACACATGCAGACCCACATACCAACTGACAGATTCTCAAAAGAGACTGCACTGTTCATTTCTTAGTTACTATCTACACAGAATTTTTTTTAAACCAACCAGTCATCTAAGTTCCAGTGTAATAGCCAAAAAGGATGCCTAGTTTTCATGTCTTAAGACTTTTATCGTCAGACTAAAAGCACCAGACTATATACACTGTCTTGTACTAAAGACATCTGTCACTGGCTTGCTGCAGTGTTCCAGCAAAGCCCAACGCAAGCTGGAGGAACAACAACACCTCATTTTCTGCCTGGGGACCCTACAGCCCTCCGGACTCAATAATCGGAGTTCAATAATTTTAGGGCCTAAACTCTCCCATGTCCCAGCCCCCTACCCCACACACACACCAGGTTTTGTTACCACATAGTGACTAACAGGGGTGTTTAATGGCAGGCTAACAGTCCCATTAACAACTATTCACCCTCCCAGCCTGATAGTTGGACAAAGGAGTTGCCAATGGTCTCTCTCGCGCTTTGGGCTCTATCCTATCATTTACTCCCTACCCCACCCACCTCCCTATTTTCTGCATATAAACCAACATTTTCCCTGCCATTATCAGTTCTGAGGAAGGGTCACCAGACCCAAAACTTTAACCTGTTTTCTCCTTCACAGATGTAGCCAGACCTGCTGAGCTTTTCCAGCAACTTTGTTTTTGTTCCCGCTTTACAGTTCTTTCGGTTTTTATATACTATCTTTTGTTGACAACTCTCACCTCAAACCAGAAAACAGACCCTTCCCTTTTTTTCTTTAGTGCAGCCAAAAAGCAGTTCTATTTATATTTTAACAGACATTGTTCTCAAGAACCAGTCAAAGTAGATTGCGCTGCCAAGGATTTAATTCAATTCTTTTTCAGTTGAGAAACTATTAATTCCAGAGTTTGCTTTCAGTGTGAATTTTCCCAGGGGCTTCTCCTACCCAAGAGGTATCTTCCCACCTGGTTTCAGCTTCTCAAAACTTGTCATTAGAGCACGAGTTCCACATCCATTCCTGCACGGTGAACCAGAGACATATTTGGCCTCTAGCTGTTATTCCACTCCAGACCCATGGGAATTAAAACAGGTCAAGTTTTCAGAGATATCTCAAAACCCTACCACTCCAAAAGCTCACCACCATGGCAACATTAATTTAATTAAAGATAGGTAGGGTATCTAATTAGAAATGTTGATTAGCCACCCTTGAGACCCAAAGCTTATTAGTTTAAAAGCACAACTCGAAATCTGCATTTCCTTACTGGAACTGCAGACATTATGAAAGAGAGGGAAAAGAACAAGAAAAGGCAATATACAAAAAAAAAATGATCCACAGCTTAAGAGGTGGCCAAAAGTACAAAAAAGAAGAAAGGAAGTTATGATAAATCTCTAAATAAAAAAAGACTAGCTTTGCCTCAACTAGCACATTATGTCCAGTTCCAAGTATTACATTTTAGAAATAGGAAAACACAAAAGAATGGTCCAAGAAGAGCAACTTCAGTTATGTTGATAGATTGGAAAAGTTAGAACCACTCATGAAAAACAAGGGCTATTCAACAGGAAATTTGACAGGTATCCAAACGCACGAGGTTCTGGATATAGTAGATAGAGAAATTCTTCCTGCTGGTGAAAAGATCAAGAACCAGAATACACCAATTAAAAGTTGAATGGCAAAACAACAAAGTAGAGATAATGAATGAAAAATACAGCCGAATTAAAATTTCAGTAGCTGCTCTGATGGGATATGGGATCAAATCCTCCAAACATTAAAAACTGAAATAACTGCAGATGCTGTAAATCAGGAGCAAAAACAGAAGTTGCTGGAAAAGTTCAGCAGGTCTGGCAGCATCTGTGAAGAAAAAAAAAGCCAAAGTTAACATTTCAGATCCATTTCTGAGGAAAGGTCACCAGACCTGATACATTGACTGATTTTTCTACAAAACGCTGTCAGACCTGTTGAGTTTTAATAGCAACTTTGGTCTTTGTTGCCAGAACATTAGTCTGCTTTACTAATATCCCTATATGACATTATCCCCATACCACCTTGCATAGTGAAAGAATATTACAATTATTTTTGTTTCTCCACATATGTACATTAATTATTCTGCACACAGGAGTCTTACCTTCCTAATAAAAGCTCTGCGAATATTCTTGTCTTCAAAGTTTGCTGCACTGAACTCCTCGTTATCGTAATAAGATGGTGGGACATCGTCGTGATAACCAGGGCTTCCCAAGGCAACTACAATAAAGCAATTAAATTATTTACCACCAGATGGCATGCCTTGATGGGAGATCCATAATTTTCTGAATATAATGCCTCCAAACTACACACTGATCATAAACAATCTGTAGCAAGCTCTACACATGTAGAACACAGTAGCCAGAAAGTGGGATTATAGTTAAAGAATAGGCTTGCCCAAAGATTTTGCACTTTTAATTGATACTAACCTCACTTTCTCTATGTAAATCCTCTTGTACTCCTCATGCATTTATACAATTTTCTCAATATAAAAAGTTTCTGCAAAAATGACTTTTATTCTTTAATTTTTTAAAAAGAAGGTTTGTGTATTCGAGCCAAGGGATAGTATACCCAGCAGGTGGGATTGTGTATCACACTGAGCAGGTGGCACAGCCCGACAACTAACCTAACTCCTACAAACCCTTCTCTGGCCTCACTCTGTGCACACACCACAAGTGGTCAGCAGCACTTCAGTCACCTTTCCAGGCTGCTGGAGTTAATCTCCCATACATCTACCACCAGGCATTGCAAGGTACCAACCTCCTAGTCTCATGTGCAAACATGCACACACTGGGACAATGTGACTAGGGATTGGGAGCCTCATTCACCTCCCAGTTTGGGCCCAGCTCCTGTCAAATCTGCATGTAGCTCTAAGACTCATGCACTGCTCCCATCAAGATGGAGGTGTGAGATCCTTCTCCTAGCACTGGGAGCCAAGCAGGGAGCAAAAGAGGAAGTGAGTGCAGACAGACAAAAGGAGGAGAGAGTCAAAAATGTGACGGGGTGGGGGTCAGGTTAACCATTTCCTGCTTCCTTTCCTCCAATTTAGCCCTTTTCCTTAGTCTGACTTGGGAACAGGAGGTAGATCTAGTTTAAAACACCATGTTTTTTTCTTGATTCTTCTCAATGCCAAACAACCATTTCTTTTTAAAACTCTTGAACCTAAATGAAGTGCCGTTTCAAATGGCTATTAAGTGCCTGGAGTCACATGTCACTCCAGAAATTCAAAGCCCAGCTGGTCCAAGTTTCCATCTAGAGGATTGCGCAGCACACAAGATCACAGAATGAGAAAAGCACAGGAGACCACTTGTTCAATATCGTCTGCGCCGACTCTTTACAACAGCTATCTAATTCACTCCACTTCCTGATTGCTGGGCTACCGTGAGACAAATTTACACCTTCAAGTAAGTAAAACTAAAATTTCCTTTGATAGTTTGTGAATCTGCTTCCACAATCGTCAGGGTAATGCATGCATTTACATAGTGACTTGCAGAATTAAAAAAGTCACAAGAAATAGGACCAGGACTAAGCCGGTCAGCCCATCAATACCACTTCACCATTCAATAGGATCAAGCTGTCCCAACATTCGTCATGTCTACCTTTCTGACCTTGCCCCATAACTCTCAATTCCCCTACTGATCAGCTTTAAATATTCACAAAGGTTTTGTATCTTCAGCTCTGTGGGAAGATGTTCCAAATACATTCAACTTTCAAGAAATTCCCCATCTCAATCTTAAATTGGCACCCCTTTTATTTGGAGACTATGCCCTCTGGTTCCAGACTCACCCATGAGTGGCAACATCCTCAACATTTACCCTGTCAAACCCTTTAAGAAACCTATATATTTCAATGAGACCACGTCATCTTTCTAAACTCCAATGAGTAGAATCCCAACTTGTTTAGCAGTGTGAGGGAGCAGCCTAGTGGTTTTATCACTAGACTGTTAATCCAGAGACCCAGGTTCAAATCCTGCCACGGCAGACTGTGGAATTGAAACTGCCATCCTTACCTGGTCTGGTCCACAGACCCACAGCAATGTGGTTGATTCTTAATTGTCCTCTGGACAATAAGTGCTCACCTAGCCAGTGACACCTTCATCCCATGAATGAAAAGCAATAAAAAAAAAATGCCCTTGCTCACAAAGCCATCCCTGAACTGCATCCAAGGAAGTGACACTTTTAGATAAGGGGGACCAAAACTGCTCACTTGAGGATTTTAACAATTTACACTGTCTCTTCTGGCCAGTACTACTAGAAATAAATTTCAAACAATTGCAAAAAAGTGAACACTTGCTTTAAATGTCAGTCAATACCTATCCTTCTCTGCACTGAATCTTACCTTCTATAGTTCTCCTTCTCCCATGCTGCACCACCTCCACCCCCCCGCCAAACCCACTTAATAAGTTAATCATCCCTGAAGCTAAAATTCTCTGCTGTCCTTCCAAACCCCTGGTAAAAAAAAGGGTGTTGTCCACACTACAACAATACTGCAGCTGAGACCTAACCTTACAGAAGGCTTCACGTAACATTTTTGCTTCTGTATTCTAAACCTCTTTGTAAAGCCAAGAATAGCATTTTCTTCAACATCTTTAATCAGCTTCTCACTACTTTCAAAAGATTTCAAATATCTAATGGTGTAATAACAATCATTAAATCCACACAGTGTCATTTGTCAATCCACACCTTTCTAGTGTGGATTAAATTTTGTACCAGTCAGAATCTAAATTATTTCATACTGCTGGAATTAGATTGACTGTGGTGACCACAGTCAATCTGTATTCACAGCTGAAACCCTCCAATCTCAATCCTTCAATTCTCCTTGGATTTGTCTAGAGGCTCTGCAACCTCTGAGCACATCCTTCAATTGTGCAGTCAGTCAATCTCTGAAGGACCTCCTCCTGAGCTATTTTTATCCTATCCAGTTTCTCTACCTCCCTCTTTCACTAACAATATTTACAAATCACAGATGTAGCCATAGTTTCTTTTAATAGCTTAGCCATGCCCTCAGCCTCAACATATTATGATCAGAGATCAATAGATTTCAGAATATTTGAGATATAAAGATATGGGGGAAAATAACATTGAGGTAAAAGATGAGCAGTGATCAAGGAATGGCAGAGCAGGCCAAGTTCCCCATCAGTCCCAGGTTTATGCCAGCAGAGTCAATTAAAAAATAGAAGTTACACATGCACTAAAAAAAACTTCCATTTATTGTCAAAAATCCCTATTTTTAAAAAAGGAGGGATAAAACATGTAAAGCAGCAAGAACTTCCTTACCATTTGAATGCATCATTGGAGGTGGAGGCATGGGCGGCTGCTGGAATGCTCCTTGTGGAAATGCCTGTGGTGGCTCTCCATATGATCCTTGTGGAAAACCAGGCTGTCCATAGGCAGATTGGGGATAAGGTGGCTGCACATAACCAGCTGATGGAAAAGCTGGCTGCCCAAAACCAGCTTGTGGGAAAACAGGCTGTCCATATGGTGGAGGCTGTTGTGGATAATGGTCGTTTCCATACGACATCTCGTTACGTGGATAAGGAGGCTGTTGTGGATCTCCCGAGACCAGGTAGGTCTTCTCCTGCGACATTATCAATGATACAGATCCTTATTGTTGATCTGGGAAACAAAAAACCTAAAATAAATTTGTACGTTGTTATTGACTTCTCAATCACTTACCACATTTTTGGGGGGGG